TAGTTTTGGGGGAAAAGCAAAGCTGACAATGCTGGAGTTCATGTTGAAAAACTTTTGATCAACTATTACAGTTAAGCAAGCATTGTTCTGGAAGGGAATGAGTCAATGCAGTATTTTTTTTTTATGAAAATGATTTCAAATGGAAAAAGTGCTTTTGGCGATGGCGGTTTTTAATTCAAATGCAATGCCATTGATGTATTTTCCAACAAAAGTCTAGTGCCCCCGAATAGTTACGCAATATCAGCAGGCAATTTCTTAAACATGCTCGGTGGATTGTTGCTTCATGTACTGTATTCTAGACAACGGTGTCTTGTGCCGAATAAAGAACCGTACCATTTAATTACAAATATACACTCTTCAGAGTTGGGCGTGCAGGTGCCTGCTTAAGCATTCCACACTATATGCTGTGAAACCGCCTTCCCATGAGCGTCGAGGTGCCATAACCCCGCCTCGCCAGGAGAAATCGGCACAGAAAATATGGACTCCATATTATGGGATAGAGTGTTACCCCCCTCACACACGTGGGTTTTCTCTGGGTTACTCGGATTTCTTCCCACATGTAGCTGTTGTTTAATTAGTCGATAACGCCTTCATATATAGAGGACTGCAGAGCTTGGTGGTGTTGGGGGGTGTCATGTTGTTTTATGTCGATGGAGGACCCATATCTTGCAAGGAAGGGTCCTTGCCTTTAAACATTGGGCAGTTTATCGGAAAATTGGTACAAGCAAGCCTGGCTGCTGACGAGACACTGGATGTCAAAACTGGTAGCGTTGGTGTTAAACTAACGCTACTGATGAGATGTACTCCCAGGAGGTCGTGCGGCCGATAGGTTATTTGCAAAAATACATTTTATTTTTCATTTCATGTGGTGTGAGAAACTGGGCAGTAGGTATTTTTTTTATCATACAGTTCAATTGATGGTTTCAAGCTATTGAGCACAATTGAGAATTTGGCTGCTGGAATGACTTAATACAAAGATAATACATTTATTAATTCAACTTTATGCCAATCTTAAATGAATTGGACATAAAAGCTAACAGTTTCCTTGTCATTCTTCATTACGAATCCGAAGCAGCATTTGTACTGTAATCTAAACGTGTACGCATCGCATTTCACACGTACAGTTATTATTGATTTGTAGATGTGGAGTCTTAATGTAGCTGTAAGCGACACCGTCTACAGGGTGCTGGATTCGTGAGAGCATGGCGATATCAACGTGTGGTGGGCTTTAAACATGACTCGGTGGTATAAATGTGGTACTGTAGTATAAGTGAGGTCCTCTCGTCATGCATGCACATTTAACTGGATCACGCCCCTTGGTAATTTCCCAGTGTAATATGCTGACATGTTGCTCGGTATGTGAGGTGATTAGGGCCCACTTATTATGGCACTCGTTTATCAGTTGCTGGTTGTAGATCACAGAATTTTTCACATGAGGTTTCATAAGTGTGAATAAGTGAATTATTTCTGCATCACTGAAATGTGCTACAATTCTTCTGGTGTATGCACCATGCTTTCGATCCGCAATTTAAAAAAAACATCACTTCAGGTCACACTGAATTATAATTACATCATTAATTGTCAAATTTAATTATCTCACAAAATAAATAAAAACGATTCCAGCCGTGGAATAGCTATGTGGATGAATGACTGCATTGCAGATGGGATTTTGAGTTTCAATATATAATTTCTCAGGCCTCGCCTATAAATAAACGACTAAACATGATAGCGCAGTAATATTAATGCTTGCAGAGGCAATGCTACAGAATTCATTTCTGTTGGTATCATGCAAGGCTAGGGGTAGAACCATAACGTACGTAGGGTCAGATTTACATCATGACAAAATGGGAAGATCACATTACGCTGATGATTTGCCCCATGGTGATGCATATATTGGCGTGTTTTCACCAACCATCTGGACATTCGCTGACACATGAATCTGCCCCATACAACACAACATAGACAATTCTCTCAAAGGCAACTTTGTTTTGAATTTCAAAATCAGTTTGGTCCTGGTTACATATTGCTCGCAGCTTCAGTAACTTTCTTGCATACACATCCATATGCTGGTCGTGTGCGTAGCATCTCGCTGCTTCAGTGCTTAAATCATCCAGGTCCTCGGCTATAGTTTGAGCAGCAGATGCCTCAAGCATGCTGCTCATCATCACTTTATACATTATCTGCCAGGAGGTGGATGCAGAGGGCAGACTGGTTCACTCATGCAGACCGTTAAGGGACAACCGTGAAAACAAATAACTCTTGCAGAGCAGACTAATGGAAGCAACTCTCTGTAACTCAAAAATTCGGAATCCGTTTTAATAAGCTATAGCAAGGAGCACGTACAGTGTGACAGGGATTATTGGGCATAAATGAGGGGTGGATTACACAAGGCACATGGTCATTGAAAGACAGAATGGGCATTGTAAGTGCCCATGTGTGCACCTCATCAACCTCATCACCATAATCAGAAACAGGTAGGCGATGAAGGCCCGTTTTGCCAACCATAATATTCCACTGCATTGTAATAGGCCTGCAAGATTAGGCCGGTGTCACTACAGATCTGACAAACCCATGAGTCCCTTGAATTACCGACTAGATGGTGCCATGATGGAGATGTACATATGTTGAACTTCTTTCACACTGTACGTAGCCAACCATGTTAATCGGAGGTGCGGGAGATGGATGAAACAGATAGTTGGATCACAAGTGACAATTTAGCTACACCAGGAAGAACCATATAAAACAGGCATGGCTCTGCAGTCCAGAGACAACGTCTTTATAAAGCCTTGTAGCTGCTGCTGATGGTGTTCCGAGGAGGAGAGATGGAACATTTGTCTATGTCAGGTGAAGTGTAATTTTATAAGCAACAGCTTTCACCGAGAGATGGGATTAAATCATGTAACTGTGATATTGTAATTACCTAAAAGATTGATGTATAACAGCACACAAACATCACGTTATTGTGCCATATAGTCCTGACCATGGGGTGCCCAAGATTGGGTGAATCTGCACAGCCATGAGCGACCTGAGGTGGGCAACAAAATTAGAAGGTAGCCAAGAAGCGAGGGGAACAAGAAGCTGTGGCTGTCCTTGTGAGAGAGCATCCTTCAGGCTCAAGACTGGGCGAGACTACACACAGCGTGTAGCATATGTGTGTGTGTGCTCGTCCGCGTGCAGGTTCTCCGAGTTGAGTCGGTGCCTTCTCTTCAGTAAGGGTACACTGTAAACCATTTTGTGTGCTCTGCAAGCCTCCTTTAAATTAATTTCCAATGAAATTCATGTTTGCTTTGAAATCCTTTGTCGACTGGTCCGTGAGCATCATCGGTCACCCGCCGTACATCTCCCACCCCGCAGACAGCCTGTGAAAATGTCGATCAGAAAATACAGTGGATGATTTCACACTGCTGAAAGAGGCATTGACATGCAATTTCCTCTGAGTGCAGACCAGAATGTTTTCCTTTGAAAATAACTATCTCAAAACACTGAACATCTCAAAACAGCAAACAATACAAAATAGTGTCACGATTTTAGCAAAATATTAGAGTACTGCACATACATTGAATTTGGGTGCAAGGCAGCAATGTCGAGGATAAGGATGATTGCATTCTCGACAATGTTAATCTGATTACCAGCAAGTCTCTGACTTCTATATCCAATTTGTCCGAAAATAGGGTTTTAATAATAATTAAGATCTATTTACCGTTTGTAAGGTTATTGCAAAACTTTTTTAAAATCACATGTTCAATGTCTCCGTTGCTGGATAATTCATTTTAAAGTATTGCAGGAAACACGAAAGCTGTGTCAGGTCCTCCTAAGATTTACTTTTTTGTAACACATTTCCAACATGTTTTAATTAAACATGAGCGCTGGCCAAGGATAATCAAAATATTTGTTTTGTTGTGAAACTGGTCAGACTATTTATAGTCAGCTCTCTCTGTTGAAATAACATAAAATTACTTGACGGGTCACTCAATGTCTGGATGTGACACTTCTCTGGGGCCGAGAGTGATGTTCTCTGCCAGATTTTTGGAAGCTTTTGCAGCTATCGAACAACAAGTTACCTGGTGCGTTTTGAAACTATTTGGAAATGCTGCAATTGCTCTCATTTGTGTGACTGCAGGTTGTATAACAACATGAGGAAGAGAGTTGCAGATTTTTTTTCTCACAACAACATAACTATATTGAAGCTATCTTATTATATTCAAAATGTATCTTCTTATTGTTATGCTTTAGTACATTTTCTACTGTTAAGAATGTAACGTAAGAAAAATTACAAACGCGAAAGTGTCATTCGATCCATCTAGCTCATTCGATTGTGAATAGCAGATTGATTCTAGTGTCGCATCGAGCCATTTCTTGAAGAGTCCTGGTGAATCAGCCTCCACCGTGTGTTGTATGGGCAGCTGGTTCCGGACTTCTATTGCTCTTTGAGTAAAACGTTGCCCTCTGGCCTTGCTGTAGTTTTAAGGCCTCTTGTGAAATGATTATCAATCATTGAGTCAATTTAAACATCCCTTCGCAATATTTTCTGAAATGTATGCATTCGAAGTATATGAAAGCCTTTGCTCATGGGACAAGTCTCCCATGAGTAAAGGCTTTCATATTCTGAAAATAAATATCTGCACATTCTCTTCCATGTATTTGGTTGCAGATACTAAGAATAATGTACTGCATTTACCCAGGATAGCCTCAATCAATCTTAAGGTTTCCAGGAGGTAACATGGAAAGGCTCACAAAAATAGATTCAAGAATCCATTGCTGTAGTGTCATCTCTTGGCCACTTCACAGCATGTACCTATAACACTTGGTCCTCCCTGGCAGTATCTCATCTACGTACTATCCAAGATCGAACATACTTAGCTTCTGAGATTTGACATGATCAGGCACATTCAGGGTGACATGGTTGTAAGGTTTTTTTTTTGCTTTTTTAAATGAATACGCAAAGTGCTTAACGTTACAATGACATATTTTCCCTTTCTTTTCTGTGATTCTTGGTGCAGCATTGAAGTGCTTCTGCCACCACTGCGTCTCGGACAACTACACTTGCGTGACGGATGGCGCATGCCTGGCATCGGCCATGCGCAGGCGGAGCCCGGTGGGGCTGACGCACATCCGCGAGTGCATCCCACGTGAGCGTCTCGTGCCCCCCGACCGCCCCTTCATGTGCGTCAGCTCCTACGATCGCGAGGTGCAGGTTACCAACGTGCACTGCTGCAACACGGACTTCTGCAACATGGTCGACATCACCTTACCACCACTCGTGGGTGAGTTTCCCTCCGGTAGAATAGTTATTTTTTATATATACTATTGTTTGGAATGCATGGGACATAAATTACAATCCAGCCTGGGCCATGCACGGTGGCATACACCTGTTAAAATTAAAGTTTGGATTTATGGAGTATCAAAATGCTGTCCAAAAGCATTGGCGATGTGCAGAAGTCATAGGCAAAGGAGAAGAGGTAGAACTTGAGCATGGGCTATTTTTTTATGCATTTGCTGAGCACATGCCCAAAACGTGAAGCGGCCAGCAACAAACAACACCGTTCATTGTAATAGAGAAGAGTAAACACTGACTTGAACAAGCTAGGGGATCGAGAGGCCAATACAGGCAGTAGAGGGTAAATATTGACTTGGGGCTTCACCAGATCTTTGTTGCTGAGGTGGAGAGCACATGGATTAATGCATTTCTGTGAAAAAACATACTTTGGGATTTTACCAAAATATGATTCCATTTGTGCTATCGGCATTATCATGAACTAAATAATCCATTCTGAACTCTCGCCACATTGTAAAGCCAAATTTTATATCATAGATGTTTTTGTGCAGTCATTGGTGCCTGGGCCAAAATGGATCAACTTTTTGCACTTGGGAACTCGTTTTCCTAATGGGGGGCTGCCCCAGATTAGCAAGCCCAGGACATCCGCTGGGCCAGCACAGCGCTCTAGCCTCAGCCGTTACTTGGCCATCTCTCGAGTATTTCCACCCAAGCACTTAAGTAATGTGACTCTTTAAAGGTTGGGATGCTGGATTGCACAGAGGCCATCATCAATAACGATTTGAAATGCTATGATGTGGCCAGTACAGGTTGTTCAACTGTCCTTCTGGATTTTTGAGTGTTTTCCACTAGAATACATTAACATTCATGAAACTGCTTATTTTCCACGTTGAAACAAAACAAATTGACCAAATGTCACAAGGTAGAACCCCTGGAAAAAATAAAGTATATTTGATAAGGATAAACAACAAGACAGATTTTAACTCGCTGCATGTGTAATGACAGGGTGACACCTGCCGGGAGTGGTAATTACGGTCATGGCTGCATTACATAATGCCTTATTATAAGGAGGGTGTATCTCGGGTAAAGGTGAAAGGTGGAGTCGGTCGAGAAGCTCCGGGAACCAGCTCGAAGGTTTTGAAAAGGGGGCGTGGCCAGAGGTGGAGCTTGGCCGTGCCGGGGCAGATATAAGGGGGACCGAACCAGAGGTTCATGGCTGTTGCGGGTCCTGGCTGCGTCGCTGCTCATCGTCATCTCTTTGTCTCCGACCACGTGGCTGACCTTCTGGAAGACTCTCTCCGTCTCCGTCGCTGCGCTGGTCAAACAGCTTACATTGCGAAGCCGGAGGCGGGGCTACGTGTTAGGATCGTCTATGTGTAGCTGCGTTACACAATATATCGCCCAGCGTGCTCTTAATAAATAAGACGCCTTCTACTCGACGTGTCCCGGAAGTCGCTCACTACACATGTAACCTGCTATGATATGAATCATAAACATGGATGCTGACAAAGAAAACAGAACAAATGCTGAAAAATATGGAAATGATCACGGAGGGATGCACACTGGAAGTTACACGGAGGTAAAAAGAAGAACGCATGGTTTAGAAAACAGTTGAAAATTAGATATCTTATTGACTCAACAATTGTAAGTGAGCTTTGACGGGATCATGGAATGGCAGCCAAAAGAGGAAACACGCGCGAGAGGATGACCACTACCGAGATGGAGTGAAAAATCAGCTCATGCCGAGGAGCGAAATTAATTTTGGCATCACATGACCTTGAGGGATGTCAGTAGCTTGTAGGAGATTCTTATTCAGCAGTGGATAGAACATGGTTGATGATTTGGCCTTGCAGTAATTTCAAAGTAAAATTATTAAGTCAGGTTAACACGTAGGCTTTCGCGACCAATATCCACGTTGTGCAAGAGCACAGAAGGGGTGGTCAACACATCTACGCCTCCTATATAAGGAACGAAACAGTAAGACTTCTCCACAAATCTGGCTGTCGTCTGATGAAGCTAGTTGTAATTACTGGCGAAACACCGTACTCAGTTTGTAAATGTTGTGGCTTGGCTCTCCAACACACCGGTGTGCTGTACTAGTATACTACACTATACACTACACTATACACTACACTACTATACATTACACTACTAAACACTACACTACTATACATTACACTACTATACACTACACTATACACTACACTCCACCGGTGTGCTGTACTAGTGACGAATTGGCCACGTTCTGTTTATGTGACAACCCTTACTAGTTGGCTGTGTCGGGTGGTGGCGGGTTTTAATGACACATTTATATATTTACGGGATCTAACCCAAAAACCTCTACTATGATAAAATTATTAGTGCTGTCGTTTTTTATACTCCATGTAAATTTGCAATTACGGGGATTATAGTGATGTACCAGCATATTTCAACTGCCATTTGCGTATGTAAATGAGCTGGTATACGCAAAGAGTGTTGGGTTAAATTACCATGGAAGAGGAAGCTTGCTTTTTCGTAGTAATTAAAATAATGAGCCCTTGACTGTTAATTGCACACTGTTATTCAAACCGCTGTCAGAGTATTATTTTCTCTGCCATTGGGTTTGTATCCAGTTTTTTTGTGAAAGTCCTTTATTTTTCAGTGGCTTGTTAATTTTTAGTGACTAAACAATTGCACCAACGGAGCATCCAACAATTGGGTTCATGGGAAGGTTTAAAAAAACATGACCAGGTCACTGCAAATGACAATCCTGGGTGAGGATCGCTCGTCATAGACATCACATTAAAATTCAACCACACCATTCATTACCATGCAGAGGCATTAATAATTATGATCGTAAGTAATTGCAAGGTACATTGAGCCTACATGGGAAGACTAATCTGAAGCGTATTACTTAGACATGGACAACCTTATTAAGATGCATGCTTTGTACTCATTTGGTTTTGTAATAATTGGGAAGCCATCAATGTCTTGTGCATTTCTAGATTTAATGCTTTCGTGACTGCAAGGATCCATACTCTTTGGTTCTATTCGGTAAAGTCACGTAAAAAAACAACAACAAAAATTCACGACGTTTCGGCCACAACACAAGTGGCCTTCATCAGACTGTTCTCTAGACAGTCCGGTCCCTTCAACTGATGAAGGCCACTTGTGTTATGTTCGAAACGTCGTGAATTTTTTGTTGTTGTTTTTTTACGTGACTTTACCGAATAGAACCAAAGAGTGTGTCTTGTGCATGTTGAGTGCCTGCCACCAATGTGTCCTAGCGATTGAACAAGAGATTCATGTGAAGCCTTCACCAGTAATGTAAACGGGGAAGGAATCTTAATTCTGAGCTCTGTTGTGTATGAGAAGGAGCATGTAATTCCTGAAAATGTATTTGCCTTGGTTATTTTGAATAATTAGTAGATGAACGTAGTGTGAATGATGTTGAAAAAATGTGGACTAGCTTTGCTCACGTCACTAACCTACCTGGGTCTCTTGTCATTATTTTTTGTTATCAATAACACCGCTGTAAAAGAAAAAAAATATTTAACAGGTGACGTTTTGGCAATGGCCCATTTTCAGAGCACATGAGGTTGATGATGAGACACTCACCTGACATTTGCTCTCTGATACGTATAAGACACTCACTTCACCACTCACCATTCACATGAACTTCACCAGAAACCACTCACTTACTGGATACTATCATAGTTATAAGAATAATTAACAGCCCTGTCAATCCACTGATGGATTAATTAAGGCCTCCCCATGACATGATGCTGGTCAGTTTGGGTTGGTGAAGTCGGCAGGATGTGGGGGGGCTATGACTTGATCAGATATTATTCGTGACTGATGTTAGCTCTGGCTGGCAATCACACTTCAGGTTGATATTGCAATGCACAAATCGCTGCACCACCGCTCACACCTGTCTTATTTTACTGTTTACAGATTCTGCATGGACTGGCCTCTGTTTATCTTCTCTAATTTATGCCTACACTCCTGCCTGAGTCCCATTGCTTATCTGGCCTAGAGTTGCTCACTACACCCAGAATATAATGGCAGTCTGTGGGGTGGACGGTCATTTACATTTGTAGCTCCCAGAGTCTGGAATACACTTGCACTGTATATTCAGCAAGATCCATTCCGTTCCGTTGTTTAAATCCCAGTGAAAACCATTTCGTCCACCTCGGCTCTTCTTGATAAATGTATCCTGCATTGTCGATCTTCATTTGGTTTAACGGGTCGCAGTTGATTGCAACTATCCGACATATGACCATGCCCCTATAAGGTATCTTGGTTTGTGCGAGGTGATGGGAGTGTATTCTGGGGTGTTGGTCAGTGGATGATGCTCTTGATTAGTGCAAGGAACTGAGATTTCGACATCATTAACACTGTAAACATCTTTTTGTGAAGTTTTTAGACAGTCACCTTGCTTATTGCATGTCATTTTGTTGATTTCTCCTGCTTAAGAATCTTATTCCCAAGTTCTAATCCAATGGCTTTAGCCCCTGCTTTGATGGGAATGTGGGAGTTATTGTATAGCATTTTGAGATACAATTGTATGAATTACGCTATAGAAATTTGTTTTTTTTTTATACATTATGTTTTCTTAAACTTCTAATAAAAATGTAAACCTGTCCCAAGATGCTGGACTATGTATAATTACTCAGTTCAAGATGAATACTAACGGTAATAGGAACCTCATTATATTATTCTCCTACCTATGTAACTCCTTACCACACTGGGTAAGCTCTGCTGATTCATTGTGCATTTTTTAATCACGCCTGCTGTCTTAGCTGTTCAATAAGGCTACCAACGCTTTGAATTCATCAGCAATGAGACGTGTGTTTGTTCATTTTGTCTCCCTATGTCTCAGTTTGTAATCACAATATTTTTCACCTGGTTTTGTTAAATGCTTTGCGAGGGCCTTTTTCCTGCAAGGTGCCTTATGAATGCTTTGGTTTTTTTTTATGGTTGTGGTCTCGGTAAAGAGCAGCCAACTCT